CTGATGAATTTTTGATGGCTTCGGCAAGCTTTTTCACCCTATATGGCCCAACAACGCGGCGCGCATTGCTCTGAGCTTGGGCTCTGTGTTATCACACCCGCTCCAAGCACGCTGCATTGGAAGCTGTACCTCTGTTACCCCTTTCACTTCTCACCACTCTATCGCATCCTATCCTCCGCCCTTCCCCGCCTCCCGCGGTAACAGGGCCTTTTCACACACTCCAAGACCTCAGCGAGGTTTTTCCCGTCCATCGTAGGCCCGGTGCCTTCAGATCTTCTGTTTCTCTTATCTTCCCTCCCCACGCGCCTCCAACTTTTGCCCACCTCTCCCTCACCCCCCGTCCCTTCACGCATCCTTCATCGGCGCTCTGTCACGGTAGAGATAGTACTGCGCTACTAGCGCCCCATTGAAAATGAACGCCGCCACACAACTAAGGAGGTATAGAGTATTTTGAAGCTGGACCATGGTTGTGAAGATGCGGGCCACGTTGCCGACGGCCTGGAGGATCAAGGTGGATGGCGCAAGCTCTCCCGTGCTCTTGTTGCGGTAGTTGAGAAGGAGCTGTGGCACTCGACTGAAATTCAAGAGAGGGATCGAGACGGTCTGAAGAATCGATACAAGTAGCATCGGGGCGAGGGGGCTAATTGTGTACGCAAAAAATAGCGAAGCAAGGAGGAGGGAAAGGGCAAGGATGGGAGGACTGGGCTCATCCGAGTACAGGGAGATACCAGCCATGATCACGACGTTCTGCAGCACAATGAAGACGGTCTCGCCGTAGGTGGAGAATGGGAAGGCGTTTCGGATGGAAAAAGCCAGCGACATGGCTATTCCTATGGTTTCCAGGATGTACATGGAAGATGAAAGGCCTGCAGCCGATTTCTTGCGAAAAATGCGCGCGGCCTGGGGGAGCTTGAAGAGCATCGAGCCAGCAATGACGACATACCCAGTGGTTCTGCTCAAGAGAGTGAGGAAGTCGAAGCCCTTGCCAGGGGCGGCGGGGATCGCTACACCACCTCGGCGAAATAAAATTGGTGCAATGGAGGAAATAGATGAAGGAGCGGCAGCTAAGGAGGAGGATGGGAGAGGGCGGTTCGAGACAGGCATCCCTGTTCCGACATTCAAGACGTGATGATGTGGCGCGGAGCAAAGCGAGGCCAGCATGGGAGTTTTCCAAGGTCGTAGCCCACCATGGATTGTAGATTTAAAAACATTTTGTGGGCCTGTGGCAAAAGCACGGGTAGTGCTGCTAACAGCCAGGGCCACCAAAGCCAAACCAAAGATTCGAGCCATTGAACAGGCCACGGGCGTAATCGTGCAACAACCAAAGCCAAACCGACTGTCTCCGACTATTGCAAGGCTGTGAAAAAAAATTGGCGGATTTTCAATGAGAAGCCCTTTCATCCCCGGCTGCGCACGATTTTTCAATTCAATAACATTGATGGGCAGTTGCCAGGTCAAGTGAAAGTGTTGAAGGGTTCTGGCGATGACGTACCAGCCATCCCTCTCCTCCAAGCGTGTGCCCCGCCCGTCGTCCCGCCTCGACCACCCCGCGGTCAGCCAGGCAAAATAGGAGGGGCCACTCTCATACATGCCACGGTACTTTCAGGCTGCATGGCTGCGATATCATGTTGGCCGGGGTATGTACTTCGGCCTACGTGCGGACATACTGTCTCGTTTGGCAGGGTCCCTCCGGGGCACTACTGTGGCTTCTGCGCCTTGCCCCAGCCTTTATCGCGGGGCGCTAGCCCTGGCACTTTCCACATTAATACATTGGAGGAGACTGCGGCTAGATGTGAATCATGCCTATGTATTTTATTTCGTGACAAACGTTATTTCCTCTCTTGGCAAGGTTTTACAAGGATGGTGTCTCCTAGTGTGTCACCAGGCGGATACTTTGGAAGGACCCCTAAACTGGACGTCCGAAGCGTTCTGTCCCCTCCCCCGCTCGATAAAGAGCTAACTATCACCTTGCGTTACCCACTCGAAGAAGTAGAAGTTACGGACAAAATTTGCATTGCTTCAAGACGCGACTGACTTTCCATCCCTCACGCTATCCGGCCTCTTCCCCTCCAACTCTTGCAGCGAGTCGCAAGGCCTCATGACGCTGTGGACGAGTCCCGTCCCCATGCACATGGCAGGCAAGCAGGTGACAGCACCGCGCATGGAGACCGCGGTTCAAGACGGGGAGCCTTCCAACACAGTGTCGGTAGTACTCGCTTCCGGCGCAGGCGATGGGGCGGGTAGCAACCTGGGCAGCGGTGCATCGAACAATTTTACTCACAGCAACAGCAGTGCGAGCGGCAGTACGACCAGTACTGCTCCCCACCAACGACGACAAACACTAGCTAATGTCCCATCTGCCGCCGAAGTGCATGGTAGGCAGGAGAAGTGGCTGGAATTTGCACCAACTTCTCCCCAGCGCCGTGCTTCCTTTGTGGACGAGCCGGGAGTTGTGGATGGGAACCCCTTTGAGATCTTTAAGGAGCCTGCGCGGGCTGACCATTTTGGAAGTCAAAGTTTTTACGAAGCAGGGGCATCCTACTCGGCGAAGCAACATGCCCCGCCTCCTTCTGCAGCATCCTCGGTAGTGTCCCGCCCTGCCTCGGCGACTCGCCTGACTGCGTCGTCCATCCCACTGGGCCCGGAGAGGCTTGACTCGAGCTACCGCCCTTCTTCCAGCACAGGCAATCCATTCTGCGAAGCTCCTTTGAGCCCGATTCGCTACAACAAGCCCATTGCCAAGGTGGAGCTCTCCCCTCAGAGCACCGCCTTGTCGGCCGTGGCGTTCTCAGCGCTTGACCCTCTGAAACGCACAGAATCGCCGACCGCATCTGTGCCCTTGGACCAGCTCAAAATCTCGGCCTACAACCGGGAACAGGAGGTGCTGGCGGCGGCAAAGGCTGCAGAAGAGCAAGGGAAGCAGTTTCAGGAGCCAGAACACTACAGACGACAACTGCAGCTGCAGCAGCCACAGCCCACAGCACATTTCCAACAGGACTTGCCACAGCCACAAGGACAGGCGGAACAACCACACCCACAGCAAGGGGACTGGAGCGCGTGGTCCATGCAGCAAGGTGTGCTTCAGGCCGCCAGCCAAGCCCAGCCTGCGTCGTCCACGGAATGGGATGCTTTCGGTGCTTCTCCGACGGTCTTCCCGCAAAAGGCACCGCCCTCGCAGCCGACCTTCGACAACAACTTTGGGTGGCAATCCATCCCCGGGGCCTTCACCACGACCACTCCCAACAGCGACGATTTCAGGGTCCTGGGCGGGCATGCGGCGGGAGGAGGGGAGGACGGGGGGAGGGAAAGAGGGGAGGGGGCGCGATCTTCGACCCCGTCCGTCAGAAGTCCCTGGCAGATGCTTCCTTTGATTTAAGTGTGGGGGGAGTTTTTTCCAGAGGAACCCACGGGTGCCCACACGAATGCAGGGACGGGGAGCAGGAGGAGTAGCGGGGCAGGACACGCGGAGGAGGAGGAGGAGGAGGGGGGTTTGGAGGACCATGCCGAAGAGGAGGACGACGATTCGATGGGGGGCGACGGGACTGGGGAGTTGGAGATGCAAGAGGAGCATTTCGGGGAGGGCGGGAGTGGATTAGAAGGGAGGCAGCGGTCGGCGTCGGGTATGTACTACGAGGTGGCCTTTACGGCGCCCACCACCTTTGGCATGCTCTTGGAGCGTAAGGACGAGTGGGTGCGCGGGTCGGTGGCGCGCCGGGAGAGGACGGTGGTGACCTTGGTGGTGGAGGGGGGGGAGGCAGAGGCCAAGGGTGTGGCGGTGGGAAGCATGATCGTCTCGATAAATGGGGAGGAGGTGACGGGCTTGACATACAAGGAGACCCTGGAGCGGATCAAGGGGCAGGCGCGGCCCATGCAGGTGGTATTTGAGCGTGAGTCTTTGAATGAGGACGTGCTTCAGGGGTATTTCTTTGTTTCCAAGGGGCCCTTCTTCTCGAACCCGACGACCATGGACAAATGGAAGCGTAAGTACATCGTGCTGGGAGGGCCGATTGCCAAGAAGAACGTGTTGCAGATTTATGACTCCAAACGGGCCTATCACAACACTGTTGTGGCCTTGTTTCAACGAAAAAGACCGTCGCATCGGGTCAAGACGTACGCTCTGACCTATGCCTTTAAGCTCTCTCAGCTGCAAGAACGGCGGATGGATGGACATACCGCTCCGTTGAAATTTTTCGCCTTTATGACCCCGGCTGCCAGGTTCAAGTCGGTGCGGATCGCGTCGGAGACGAGAAAAAGCGTGCAAGGCTTACAAGAGAGGTTCAGCCGTTTCGCGGGCAAATCGACACGCTAACGAGACGAGCGCAATGAATGGAAATTCATTTTTATTTGGAATAGTTTGTCGAGGGAAGGGGAATAGAGAATCTGGGTCGCCAAGGGAGAAGGAAGATTTGGGTTGGAAATGGACGTGATGGGATTGCGCGTCCATTACACTATGTCCAAATGAAGACATGACGGGGGAAATTGAAAGAGAGATGGAAAGAGGATGGGCTTTGCATCCGGGGGAAGGGAGCAGAAGATGGGTAGGCGGTGGATAAATCCCTTACCTGAAAGGAAGGACGCGCATGAACGAGCAGCCATCTTGGGGAGAGATCAGGGGAAAGGGAAGTTGCAGAGGCCTAGGCTTAAGGCGCGTAAGCTTCGACAGGGGATGTCGGCCATGCATGTGGAAAGCTTCGTGGGATAGTGTGGTGGCATCCGGAGGAGTTGGAAGTCCTCCGGGTACCGGGATGTAAATTTTGTTAACTTGCCGTATGCAAAAATGTATGTAGAGGTGCCATCAAGACAGTATTTGTGCTTGACCATGGAGCATTGGCCAATGCGCGATGATTCACCACGGGCACATTTCTATGCGAGGTCATCGGAGGAAATTGCTTGAAGTCAAGAGGAGAGAGACAGAGGTCTCATAAGAGATTCCAGGAAACAGAAAGCAGAAGCAACAGTAGAGATCAAAGGGGATGGCTTGCAGGACAAAATCGCCAGCAGTTTTATTCTTTGGGTCTTGTGCGTCCGATTGTGCTCCAAACCTTTTGTGTGCATCTTGTATGCTCAATTACCACAGTCTATGTACAATGTCGGCCCCTTAGCATCCATCAATTCAGTAGCCACGGCCTGATCCCGCGTTCTTCTCTTGGTATCGTACAGGCCCTAACCCTAATCCTAACAGCTAGTTCATGGCCATGACATCCCGGCAGCACACGCCCCTGTATGCCAACTCGGTGAAGAAAGCCAGAATCCCTTCTCTCTCTCTCTCTGTCATATCAAATCGTATCGCCAAAATTTCCTCAAACCTTCCTTCTCTTTTCCTCAGACCTGCCGTCACATTCATTTTCCTCCGTGATGACAACGATGTCCACATCCCGTGGGGCACTCCGAGTTGGCGGCGAACCATTCCTGGAGATGATCGATATGCCCGCCGTGCCCGCAGCCAGGACACCACACATAAACTCCTCGCACAGGTTGGAGGCACAGGGCACATTGTGAGACCAACGCTCGGCACTTGCCACACCAGGGCGAAGGAGTCGGTGTCGAGGAGGACGTGGCGGAGCCAGGGCTGGAGGCGGACATCACGCCCTTTGTGCCTCCGGATCCAGGACCCAGAGGCCGTCGGCACTGGGCGCACGCGGCGTAGATGTTAGTGTTGCTCGCGTAGAGCCCGTGGATGTACCGGTCCTCCAAATGCTCCACCAGCTCATTCGCCACTTCCCACAGGGTAAGGCGTTGTAAGAGCTCCAGGTACCCCACATAGATCTCGCGGACGCGCTCCGGCCGAAAGCCGATCAGGTCTGACAAGGACTCGCCGGGAAGAGCTTTCCCAGTGGACTGGATCACTTCGAATAAAGCCACACAGTTCTGAAGTTCCCCCTCCTCCAGCAGTTCCTCCACCACATGGCCGAGGATCTCCCGACGAAGGAGCTGCAAGCATGTGGAGGACGTGGTAGGAGTGTCGAGCGGCCCGTGCAAGAGAACACTCGGAAACGAAGTGGTGGAAACGGCGCCCACCATGCAGGCCTCCTGCGACAGCTTGTCACGCGTTTCTTTCCGACCGCTTCGTTTGCCTTTGCTGTCCTCTTTATCCATCATAGGATGACCGTGGGTGCCAGTGGCAAAATTGATACCCGTGTCTTCATCTTCCGAAACCCCCCGCCCTTCCTTCCCTCCCACCCCGGGGCCCGACAAGATGACTCCAAGCATCTCCCATACGTGCGCCATCCTCCACTGCCCTTCCAAGCGGGCAACTTCGGCGTTATAATGGCACAGGTCCTCCCGAGCGCGGCAACACGTCCCGACAGACTGCAACGGGAGCAGGCAGCCTCGAGGGCGCAGGACATACCTCTTGCCCAAGCGCGCTATCCTGTCGGCGAAATGCGAAGAAGAGGACACGGAAGAGGAGGGCACCAAATCGTTCTGCATGGGTTTGACCTGGGATTCAGTACCATTTCCTTTCAGTCTTCTCCCAACTCTATGTCTTTTTGGCTTTCCGTCCATCTTGTTCTTTTCCATCCGCCCAGGGCGGCCATCCGGAAGCAAGCTCAGCCCTTCAATCGCCCTGGCCACGGCCAGGGTGTGCTCAGAGTCTTCGTCCCATTCCATGCGATACAAAAAGCGTGGTCGCCAACATGAGTCGTCGACGTCGAAGACTTTATTGGCCACGCTAGCCCCTGCCCCGAAACCGTGACCGGGGCCTCCATCTCCACCTGTTGCGGGAAACGGCGACGGCCTTTCGTCCGCGGATCGGGCCCCAGACGGAGAAGGAATGTTGGGAGCCTGAAGCACGGATTTAGAAGGCTGAGGTGGGGCTGCAGGGATGGAGGGAAAGGGGGTGGAGAGTGGAGAGGGAGTGTAGAGAGGACGTCGGGGATGGGAGGGCGAGGTCCGCCCGGCGTCAGCACGGACGTTTGGTGGTTGCTGGAGGGTCGATTTCCCCCTTCCGCCGGCGTCCTTGTCCATGCCTTGCTTGCCCTCGGCTTGGGCACCAGCAGGGTGCCCCCCTCCCTCCTCCTCATCGAACAAGCCCTGCGCTCGGCGCTTGCCTCCGTGTAGGCCCAAAAGGCGCCGGAGCGGTCCACCCGTTCATGGGACGTCAGCAGTTCTCCCCGCACGCTCAAGGACACCACACTGGGGGTGAGCGTGTCGTGGGGACGCGAAGCCTGTGCCAATGAATGCAAAATGACGCGGCCGTCCCTTGCGCAGGAGATCAGATGCCGCCAGACCCCGAGACAGGTCCATCCATCCATCTCCTCCTGCAAGCCCGCCCGTTGTCCTTTGCTTTGGGAGAAGGTCTCGCCCCAGACTGCCCCCCAGTTCCCAAAGAAGCCAGAGGGCCGTGGTCGCCTGGAAAGCTGCTCGTGCTGCTGCTGTTGCTGCACTTGACGCTGGGCCCCGGGGAGGGATGGCTGCTACCATTCCCCGCACCCTCCCCCGCCCCATCCTCCCCGTGCGCACTATCGGCATGGGAGCCCCACTCGGGCAAAGACGGCGTGTCGAGCCAGACGAAGCTCCCACATACGTCCTCGTGGCCCTCAAACGTCGCCAGGGGCAGATACGGTCGATCCACGTCCCAGACATGGATCGTGTTGTCGCCCTGAACCGAGGAGGTCGTGGCCACCTGCTTGGGGTACCCGGGGCGCCATTTGATCCGGTTCACGGCTGACACGGTATTGATCAGGCACAGTACTTTCGAACGGCCACCATTCATCCCCCCACGGCCCACCCCGCCGCCCTCCTCTTTCCCTCCCCCCGCCCCACCCTCGGACACCGCGTTCCCCGTGGACTGGTCGCTCAAGTCCCAGACTTTCACCGTCCGGTCCCTTGCCCCTGTCGCCAGTATCCATGGCTCTGTCAAATGCCATTCCAAGGCCAGCACCAAGCCGCTGTGCCCCATCAGCTTCTGGACCGGCCCCTGCCCCTGCCTTCGATCCCAGAGTTGGACTGAACCGCTCTCGCAGGCCGCAGCGAAGTAATCCGGCTTCGAGGGATGCCACTGCACGTCACGCACAGCCTCTGCGCGGGGTTGGTAGGTAGCTTGACAGTGGTACAGGCGACCTCGCCGGTCCCAGAGCTTTATGGACGTGTCCTGGGACGCAGAGAGGAGCAGGCCTTCCTCCTGAGGATGCCAATTAATGCGGTTCACGGTGCGAGGGTGGGCGGCAATGACTCTCTCTTGCGAAGGCCGTCCATCTCGGTTTGAAATATCCCAGAGAATAATATTGCCGTTGCTAGCGCCGCAAGCGAGCAGAGCACGCGAAGTGTCTTTCACGCACCATTCCACGTCATGAATGGAGAAATTGACTTCGGAGGTGACCTTGTGAGTCAATCGGAGATTCGATTTGACCGCTAATCCAAGGGGAGACACATTAATGATTTTCAACATCTGTGCGCCGCCCACTGCCGCAAAGAAAGCTCCTGCACCTGGTAGCCGTGCGACAGACATACAATTCAGGGGCTTGCCAAGCTAAGGAATAATTGAAAAGGAAAAAGAGCGTTAAAAAGCTTTTGCGGTGACTACTGTGATTTTATGTCCTCATGAGGTGATGGATGCAACGTTTATCGCACGGGTCATGTTCCTTTCGCGAAAAGTTGCTCTTTGTTTGGTAGGGGGAGGGGAGGTAGGAGTGACTTGCCTCAATGTGTGATACGCAACTGGGACTCCCGGGCAGCACTGTGTGCCGCTTTGAAGAGATAAGCTCGTTATTTTCATTGAGAGTTTGCGCCGGCGAGGTAAGAGGCGGTGATGGGAAATACATGGCCCTCAAGTGCTCCGCATGGACAACAGGAGGAAGTATCTGATCTGCCGCAACCCCTGTTTGTTAAGTGCATGATGAGTGGGGCAAAAAAAGGACCCAACCATCAGGCCGAAAGAAAGTAGACTCTGAAAATACCTTTTATAAGAGCATTGTCTGAGTGTCTTCCGCAGCTCGTACTTTTATCAACCAGTAGCGCCGCTCACGCCCCCACTTCCCTCGATAAGCAGCAAGACGACGTCTGTCGGCGAAAAAGCATTTCCTACGGGCTCGACCTGAATAACACGACC